CAACAGACTATTACAACCATGTGGCATCTCTGTAGCACACACACCAACTAAAGCCCTCCAAAACATAGCCCAAGAAGGAAAAACAGGAGTCATCTACAACATACAATGTAAGGATTGTAACAACTACTGTGTAGGACAGACAGGCGGAAGCCTAGCAGAGCGCATCCATGAACACCAACTAGCAGTCAGAAGACACGATGAAAACTCCTTAATCTCACAACACATAGACAGACATAATCACAGTTTCAACTGGGAAACTGTCAGCATCTTAGACCAAGCTAAATCCAAAAATGTGAGGGAATTCCTGGAAGCTTGGTATTCAGACAAGGTAACCATCAACAGGCACACAGAGAAACAACATCTACACACTACTCAAAAGAGGCAATAAAAAAGAAACAAAAGACCAGAACTTCTCCTCACCAGCAACCATCACCCAGATAAGCAGAGATTAACACCAAGATTATCACCGAAACTGTCAGCATCTTAGACCAAGCTAAATCCAAAAATGTGAGGGAATTCCTGGAAGCTTGGTATTCAGACAAGGTAACCATCAACAGGCACACAGAGAAACAACATCTACACACTACTCAAAAGAGGCAATAAAAAAGAAACAAAAGACCAGAACTTCTCCTCACCAGCAACCATCACCCAGATAAGCAGAGATTAACACCAAGATTATCACCAGGCATACAATCAAGCAGCAAACAATACCCTAACCAAGGAACTACCAGGAGAAGAAAAAAATAAAAGTAAACCTCCACCACCCCAACACTGGCAGGGCAAGCCACTATATATAAACAGAGAGCAAACCCCATTCCATTCTAGCACTGAAGATGTTACCTAGCCAGGTAATGAAATGTTTGCAAGGAAACAGCCAAGCTCAGAGAACCCCAAGGACTCCACAGTTCAACCCTGAGCTACACATATTCACTTCTATTAGACTTCTCCAAGAATCATGGTGGGTGGGGATGAGTCATTTTGTAGTCTACCCTTCTGGAGGCTCCAAGCTGGGAAGGCTGGCTTACAGCAATGCCTCCACCAGCTGGCATTGATGGGAAACGGCCCCAAGGGGGAGATTCAGAGGGAAGAGAAACATTGGTGGCAGAATCCTTCATTCAGATTAGCTCAAAATGAAGACATTTAGTGCCCATTCCCAGCTTCATCCTGGATCACTCACCTTTTCCAGGCTCTTGGTCCTGGGCAGCAATGCTATAGGCCACTGAGAGGCCGGTTCCTCCACGATTCCTTATATGTAACTGTAAACTTTCACTGGTCTTCACCAAAGGGGGACACTGAAGCTCCATCTCCTCTGGGGAGGCCAGCACCTCAATTTCGGTCTGCGCTGAGATAAACCGGCTGCCGACAAAAATGGTAGCTGTGACGCTGAAGAGTCCCGGCAATGAGTACACCTGAAGAATGGCAGTCTTGGTGGTATTGAAAAGCCCGGTTTCATCCCCAAAGTCCCACTGAATTGTGCCCACAGCAACTGGAAGGTGGAGAACAAAAGCCACCTCTTGGTAGACACTGCAAGGTGTCCCAGGGCCCACCAAGGACACAGGCAGCACAGCTGAAAAGACCCTGGAAACCAATGTTGGGCCGCCACAGAGGGGTCCGGCCAGTGGCTTGGCGCAGAAGGGTAAACAGCCAGAGGAAGCGTTTGGCTCCAGAGCAAAGCCACAAAAGCAGTCCGCTTCCTCACTAAAGCCCCCGTAGTCTTGCCCATCAGCATAGCAGAGTGCGCTGCACATCTCCTCTGTCAGGTTCTGTGGCAAACGGGATGTGAATCGTATGACAGAATCAGCTCCGCCTGTGCTGTTGTCCGGCAGGCAGGCAATATAATCGGCTCCTAGAAGGAGAAGCAACAGAAGCACAGCTGGTTCAGCCAGCCAGCCAGCCCACCACATCCCATCTTACCCCGTGGGGATGCTCACTAGAGCCAGGCCACAAGCCCCATTACTCTGGGCCATGGATCCTGAAAGAGGATCCCACTGGGGTGAGGTGGAGGGAGGTACCCTAGGGAGGTACCCTTTGATGAAGAACCGTCAGCCCCACTAGGTAGACCAGATCAGGAAACCAACTCCACAGGAAGGCTAAAACTACTTTTATTGAGACTGGCTATAACAACACAACCTTGCAAGTCTGATTGTGTTATTGTGTTACTGTGATTCAAGTCTGCCCCCTCCTCCCTGTTCTTATACTCAGATTGGTATAATCTGAGTATAAGAATCAGGTTGGTATCTGCCTGAACCGCTTCCAAATGTTACCTCGTTGTTCTGGACTTAAAAAATGTTTCAGCCTCCTTTGCGTAGGTAATAATTCTTGTACTTTCTGTCCAGGTCATCTTCCACACTCTCTACAAGAACCTGCTGCATTTGCAGTATGTAGTTGGGCCAAGCTAGACCCACCAAGCAGACCAGACCAGGATCTGGGGATGGAAGTGGTCAGTTTGGAGAGCCCAACGAGACCAACTGGGAAAGCACTGAATACCCACTAATGTGAGACAGATAGGCAGGGCTCACACAATACATGAAACTTGGTGAATTAAACCATATGATGTCCTGATGCTTTTCCTGAAAACAGCCTAAATATCCCTCTCACATTTACATAACACCAGATTTAGTTAGACTTGTTTTTCCTTCTTTTTCTCCTATCTCCTCTTTTAATTTCCTTGCCTCACTGCTTCTTTTTCTTCATGCTTTGCACAACATTATCCCGAAAAAAAACAGAATACTGGACATAGATGTATATTTATACAAAATGGTGGCTTGTACAAAACTGGGCCCCCGTTCTACTATGAGCAATTGTTGTTGGATGACTGCTGTGCTTTGCTCTTCAGTGTTTCATTCCCCACTGCTGACCCAGAGGCACACATCCTTCTCTGCCTTACCACAAGTAATGTCACCGAAGGAGACATTGAAAAGCGGAAGGTCGGCCAATTCCGGAGGCTGAGCACACCGCGTCTCAGACAGACGGGACACTTTCACATTTCTCTCTTCAACCCAACGGGGGAGCCAGGCGAGGTTGCAATCACAAAAAAATGGATTCCCACTTAAGTCTCTGAAAGACATGGGGGAAACAGGGTGATAACAAAAACCAGCCTCTTCTCATTCTACGATAACAACTAAAACAGTAAGTGGAAGGATGCTGGGGAAAAAGCAGAGGAGTTTTTCCGTCCTGGCCTGCATTTTGTATTCAAGGCATGCTGTAGTACAACCCTAGCCAAGGGAAAAAAGTCAACATCTTGGCCTTAGCACAACTGAATTTAGACAACTGTGGCTTATTCAACAAAGCATGGTTAAAAAAACCAATGTGTGACTCCAGCCAGTGCATGAAATCATTTAACTGCCTAGAGTTCATGAGGAGTGAGAGAGGAGATAAATTGCTTAAATAAATGTTACCCAAAATATGCTGATGGCTGTCAACTCAGATGGCTTAAAAGGGGGTGAAACCAATTTGCAGTGGTTAGGAGATTTCCTCAAGAATGTGATGCAATCCTACGCAGAGAATCTGCCAAGGAACAATGGCAGAAGATGGCCATGGTCTTCAGGTCTGGTTTGTGGCTTTCTCAAAGGCATCTTCTTGGCCATTGTATGCAACAGGAGACCTTCCTTTGGCCTGATCCTGCTAACTCTTGCTTATTTATGTCCATACATTTTTTTGTCAGCCTTAATTTAAATCAGTACTTGATAGGTACTTGGCTAGATTAGAAATTAAAAGAAATCTTGGAAGAAGGCAATGGCAGACCATTTCCATAATATTGGATGTGTTCATGTCGACACCAGGAGACAAACTGGATTCAAAGGAGACTTTACTTGATATTTTGACAGAGATAGAGGTTATACTCAGACTAATCCCCTTTAGAATAAGTGGGGGATCAAAGCTAGACATGATGAAAAACGTATTAACAGAAATGTTATCCATCTGATACGTTTATGTAATGGCAAGCATAAATTAAGCCTTCCATGTCAAGCTATGATGAAATTCATCCCCTAAAGGAAAAGGATAATCGACACTGTTGTGGTCCTGATGAAAATCCCCCCCTCCACCACAATTTTTAACAAGATATTTAAAATAACATTGGCCTAAATAAGTTGCATACATCTAATTCAATCCTTCCCACCAAAGCAGGTAAAAATGGATGCAGCAAAAAACTAATTAAGCAGCTTAGGATTTTAGAATCCTAAGACCACATCGCAGGGGAACAAGAACATTCTTGAAAATACAAGAAAGTTCAACATATTGACTTACATTTCAGTTAAATTAAATAAATTATCAAATATTCCATCTTCTATCGAAGAAATCCTGTTGTTACTTAAATCTCTGCAATCAGAAAAAGACAAAAAAAGGCATGAGTACAAATGTACACACTCTTTCCTCTCTCCTGCCACCACCTAAATGTCAGGTACAGATAATTTTTCATTGGAAAAGGGCTAGAATAGCAGTTAAAGATCACCAGGCAGAAGAAGACTGTACTGTTATGGATCTCAAAGAAAGACTGTGAGGTTGTATGTCCCAGGAATGACAGCTGCGCAAGGTCCTAAGCTGAACTGGCACTACAGCAGTGCATGGGAGGGCTCTTCCTCCCCACACCATTTACTTACAACCCCCCACCAGCACCCAATCCTGGTTCTCACGATTCTGTGGCATCTTTCATTTCAGCTTAGCGTGTTCCTACTCTCCCCTCAACAACCTTTTTAAAGGAAGCTTTATCATTTAGCGTTTTGTAGTTTACTCACTAAACCAAGATTAAAACAAGCTAAGGGTTAGCATGAAGTCTGAATCTACTCTGCTTCTTTTGAAGGGCTGGTGTACACTACAAGGAGCACCTTTAAGCACAAAGAGCAGGTGGGGAGAATTTTTCAGCAGGAAACCATCCAAACCAGGGCTGATTTAGCCCAAGTCCCTGCTCAGCTGCCTTGTGGGAAAAGGAAGCATAACCACGGTCTGCTTTTCAAAAAGCAAGTTTAACATAAAGAGTCTGTTAATGGGGTGTCTGCAGTGGCCAGGGCAGTGAAAAAATGACATCTGTGACTATTCAAATGAAGCCCTGCCCCTTTTTTATGCATTGTGGACACAACACTCACTGAAAAAGGGCTTCAAATGCCCAGTCATGGGCACTATCTTGACTGTTTTGATCCCCCTGCAGATGCCCCTGGTCTGTTAGATCTTAAATTCCACTGCTCCCATGCACAGGGGAACTTCCTGTGGAACAACAGCCTTGGCTCACACTTGCCTTCCACCCAGAGAAGGAATCCATTCATGCTGTTGTCTTAAGTCAACATTTCCCAATGAAAAGAGCCAACTGCTTTAGACCAGGCATGGCCTTCCCATTTATCCACCTCTCCGTTCTGGCAGAGAGAAGCAACTGAACCTTCAGGGGCATCCAACCCTCTTGCCCTCTCAACTATTTAGGCCTAAGACGCCATCTAAAATGGTGCCCCCGTTCCTTTACAAGATGTTGTTTATGACTCACTGAATTCACAATTCAAAAGCCAGCTGATTTGAGAGTCAAAGGAACAGGAGAATTTAAACCACCTCCTGAGAGGTCCCAAAACACAGCCGTGTCCTGCCAAATTCAACTTGGACCATACTGTTGTCAGAAGCCACTCCATGGCTTCGCTGGACAGGAAAAAATGTTTTCTCATGGTCCAGCAGCATGGAAGGAATAAGAAGCCCAGCTAAAATGGCAACCCCAGGTTCTCAGAGTTACAGAATGGGAGGAAATGAAAGCAGTTGGCCTCCATGACAGGAATGTCAGTTCTCCTCAGGAAAAACATAAGGAAGGAAGGAGGCTTTTCAGATCTTAGGAACAAGGCAGCCAGAAGAAGATTAACTTGGGCTGGGGAATTTATTCAATCCAAGGAGAGAATGCAGTGACAGAAAATAAGGATTGCCCAAGAAGTAACTCTCATGATTAAAAGCCATTTCTGACAGATGGACACAGGGCATCCACGTATAGTAAGACACGCTGCCCTGCTAAGCCTTTGACAGATGCAACATCTCAAAATGATTTCTGGCCCAAGATGTTTCTGTTGCATTCAATTTTGAAGCAGCAGAAGATGCCTTGTGGTCTATGGGGAGGGAGCCTTCATATCTGACTAAAGCAAGGGTCGTAGGAATGGACTATCCCTATTTTCTTTTTCAAAAGGCGTTTATTGCCTTCTGCTTCAAAATAGTGTGAAACAGCATCACTGAGAATGGGACAAAATTCCAAGAGACCATAAAAATGACTGTCTGGACCACTTCTTTTCCTACAAGGATCTCAGATTTGTAGAAGAAAATGCAAACAAAATAGGAATCTAGGCTTTCAAAGGCAGGGATTCTTTGTGGCCTTCCAAGCTTTACATACGTAAATAGGAGCACAGCAGTATATTTATCCTATTTAAACAAAGGACCACATTTGGCCCACTTTTACCCCACACAATCATATACGTAGGGTTGCCCTTGAAGACCACTCAGAAACTACAGCTAGTCCAGAATGCGGTGGCCCAAGAAGATATGGGTGCACCTCAGTTCACCTGGGTGCCACCTCTGCTCCGTGAGCTGCACTGGTTGCCAGTTGGGGTTGGTGGTCACCCATAAAGTCCTTCAGGACTCAGGGCCTGGTTATCTGCAAGACAGCATCCTTCCAGGCACGTCTGCCCATCCTATGAGATCAAGGGCAGCAGGCATGCTCCAGGCCCCATCATTCAAATTACGATGTCTTGTGGGATCTCAGAGACATGCTTTTCTGTGGCCACCCCTGCCCTATCGAACAGCCCCCTCCCCAGGTCTGCACAACTCCAAGCCTGTTGTTGTTTAGGAAAGTCCTTAAAATGGGGTTCTTCCAAGAAACCCTGGAGTAGGGCACTTGATAGAGGGACTTTATTCCTTGGCTCTTGGTGTTTCTTTCCCTGGTACAATGGAATAGTTTTTGGAGTTACAATATTACTGTTTTCTACTTGTTTAATTAAGTTGTATGTTGCCTAGAGTTGCTTGGATGATTGAGGTAACTTATATATCGAATTGCTGCTGCTGCTGCTGCTGCTGCTGCTGCTGCTGCTGCTGTTACCGCTAAAGGCTCAGCTGTTGCTGGAAGACAGAATCTGGGTTTGGAAACAGGGTGGTTCCACAGTAGGCATTTTACCCTGACACCCCAAATTTTGGTCATATTTCTTTTTTACAGGGCATTCACATTATGGCCTAACACAGCACTGAGCATAAATTGGCTTGTTTGTCTCTTGGTTGTTGTTTTTAGCTGGCCTTTAATAACATTTTTTACTTGTTTGTTTGCTTTTGGCTTAGCCTGATGTGTGAACCCACCTATTGTGACTTAATGGATTGTGTAGACCAAGCCACTATGGTTTGTTCAACAAGTCATGGTTTAAAATTGTCACTTAGCATTATTTCCTAACCTGGCTTCCATCATCACCGAATCATCTTTTTCTTGTGTCTTGTTCACACATTCATGGTCTTATTTTTTCCATCTTTTCTAAGCACAAGTGCCTTTTTAAATTCTCCATCAAATTAGGCGAAAGTTTTTTCCAAATTTCTCAAAGGCCAGAAGCTCCTCTTAGCAGTGACTGCTAATGGGAAGGCTTTTCCCACATTTGCCTTTGGGATAGCAAAAGAGGTCAGGGAGCTGGAGCTCTGTGGACAGGACACTCCCACCACCCCTTGGCCACCTATCATTATGTAAGTGCAAGAGCGCATTAGTAAGCGCATTACATAAGCGCAATTCTCCCTGCACAAGCATTTCTCCAAAATTCCCTTCTTCTTAGAAAGACATTTCAAAAGCCTGTGTCATCAAATGGAAGGAGTACCAGTAGGGAAAATGATGGTAGAATTCTCTGCCTGACTCTAGTGTGTGCTAACATTCTACAAAGTCATTCCCAACATCCTCTCCAACGTGTTTTACTAAAGACAGATGCTAAAAATCAGGAACATGGCAAATCTGGAGCATATGGGCTATTTTTGGAGCCCCAAGAAGGACCCATGTAACACCATTGCTCCACGAGCTGCATTGGGTACCAGTTTGCTTCCGGGTCCAATT